AAAATAGGACTAAGTTTTATAATATATAGATATATATTAATCATATAAAATTTTCAAAAGTTGTTTATTTTAAAAGTAATTTTCAAAATTTTTTATTCTATATACTTCTATTTTTGAATAATTTATTGATTAAATTTTAATAAATCTTATATTATTAGATTTGTTTTAATAAAAGAAATCTAATGATAGTAAAATTACATTTTTAGTATTGATATTAATGAAGTTATTATAAATTAAAATTTTACTAAAATAATCTATTTTAGTTTTAAAAATAAATTCTATAAATAATATATTAATTTGATATATTAATATTATATAATTTAATCATTTAAGTAGTAGTAAACTATTTATATTTATATTAATGAAATAATATTCAATAATATAAAATTAATAATAATTTATATTCTTTTTATAATAATAAAAAATTTAAAAATATTTTTTATTATAATAGTATAATTTATAAATAATTTAAACCTTTACATTCATTTTTTTTATTTATATATTTATATAAATTATAAAGAATATTTTTTTACATATAAATTTAATAAATTATTATAAAGTAATATTTAATTAATATTATATACTTAAGATTGTCTGCCTAAACCTCTCCAAAATTCTACGATTAGTTTCTCTAAGATTTTACTATAGTTTTATTATAGTTTTGGCACAGTTTCAGTATTTATAATAAGTTTCGCCGGTCAAGTTTCGCTTTTCTCCAGAGTTTCGCTAACTTTTTAATAAGACTTTCATATAGTTTCGGTAAAGTTTCGCTATTTCAGCATTTCGCCAACTTGCCAAAACCCCCTAGTTTCTCCAGCAACCTTATATATACTATTTAATTACCTTTATAAGTTTTATCAAATTACTAGTTAGATTTTTTAAAAAAAATCTATATAAAAAATTATAAGCATTTGAAATTATATAATTTTTATATAATCAACCAAAATTTAAAATAAAATATATTAACTAAAATTTATAATAATTTGTGTTAATTTAATAATATTAATTTAATAAACTTAATTAAATGTAATTTTTTTTTTAAAAAAAATTTTATTACTTTATAAAATAATAGTTGTATTTTTATTATTGAAATTTATTTTTCTTATATTTTATTTTATTTATAATAAAAAATTTTTAAAAACTGCATTTTATTATTAATACTTTATATAAAAAATCACAGTTTTTATTAGCTAAATTTCAGATTATATAATATAAATCAGTTAAAAAAATTGAAACAAAATTACATGATTATCAAATATAAACTTTTAGTACTTTATATTATAATAAAAACTTTTATTTAAAGTTATTAATAAAAATATTTTTAAGAATTTTACTTATATAAAAATTTTCTGAAATTTTCATATTAAATTATATTTAATTATTTATTATTTTTTTTTATTAATATTTATAAATTATATAATTCTATTAAGTACTAGGAAACGGGAACTGTTGTAAGTCTGAAGCGAAGTATAATAATAAAGATGTAGCAATATTCTACTAATTAGCAGCATAACACCTTAGAATTCTGGTAATTTTCTGCTGATTAGCAGCATAACATTTTGGAATTTCTGGACAGAAAAACTCACGTGATTGAAAATTTACACGTTATTTTCATAGATCATCATAGTGCGTAGACATATATAGTCCTTTGCTTCGCTCCGGACAATAATTTAAAATTTTAGTTATTAAAAAAATATAAATATAAAATTTCAAAAAATATCTTTAAAATAAGTAATTTTTTGAAAATTTTATATAATTAATAAATAAATTTAATATATGATATATATATAGATTATTTGAAATTCTATTAATATAATTAAAATTAATTAAGTGTGTTTGGAGATTTTCATTACTCAGCAGGAGTGGAGAGTTTTCTTATATTTGTAATTATGTACAATTTCAAATTTTAATAAAACCTGATCTAGTCATACTATAAATAAAAAAAAAAATTAAAATTAATTAAATTTAACAATTAATAAATATACTTTTTTATTTTTAAATTATTTTAATAAAAATAATTTATATAGTTTTTTAATTATAAAGATTATAAAGAAAAATAATATTGGTGATAAATTTTATGGTAATTAAAATAATAATATTTATCATATAATATTTTAGAAAGATTAAAAATATTGAAAGAAAAATTTTAATATATATAGTGTTATAAAATTTTATATATTATATGAAAATAGAAAGATTAAGATTATAATAAATGAATATGTATTAATTATTTGATAAAAGAGTTAGAATATTGTTAAATTGCAATTTAAATAATATTTTAACTTTAAATAATATTTTAATTTTTCTATTATTAAATAACTGTATTATTTTACAACTATTGATAATTATAATAAATTATTAATTAAATTACTTTTAGTTTAATATGACATATTCTTTACTATTTAGTATTTTATTTATAGTTTAATAAAAAAATATTAATACAATGAAAAAAATATGATTTTATTTGATTATAAGATAATATAGCTTTTATGTAATAAAAAAATTACATATATAAAAATTATATAGTAATAATTATTAGAAATTTTCAGCAATTATTTATATATTTAATTATAATAATAATTTTTTTTTTTTACAGAAAATAATAAGTTAATAATAAAATTCAAAATTTAAAGAATTAAATAAATAAATTAAATGGAAATTCAGAAAAAATGTAGTTAAATAAATTAATAAAAAAAATAATAAAATATAAAGATTATTTTGGATAAATTATTATATTTAAAATATTTTTATTAAAAAATATTAATATTTAATAAAAAGTATATTAGAAAATCTTTAAATATAAATATAAAAATTTGATTAATTAAACAATTATATGATTTTAAATATATATATATAAAACAAATTATAATTTAACTTTATTAGCAAATTTAACCAAATTTAACCAAATTTGAAAATTCAAAAATTAGTTTTTTTACAATTATTTTGCTATTTAATAATCTAATTCAGCCCAATTTGTTTTTAAATTATAACTATTAATAAGTTTCACAAAATAAATAAAAGATTTATTTAAATTTAATTACTAAATTTTAAAATAATTATAAAAATTTAAAAGAACAAAAAGTATTAATTTTAATATAAATTAATTATAAATTATATACTGTTAGATATTTAAAATCTGCAATTATTATATTTTTAAAAAATAATCAGTATTAGAAAATTATAAAAATAAGAAATATTTGAAAAAAAAATCAGATATAAAACTTTATATGAATTATTAAATAAAAGCAGTTAAGCAGATATTATAAAAAAATTTAATTAAGAAAGAAATAAAGTTTAAAGAATTATAATTAATTTAATTTAGTCATTATTAAGTTACAAAATTTTACTTAATGCTGGTTATAATTAAATTTAATAATTAAAGATTTGGGTAGTAATAGTACTATTTTGATGTAATTGAATCTTATTGATAAATCATACTATATGTATATATTAAAAAATCAAACCTATGTTTTAATATTTAAATGAACACATTATTATCTAATCTTATAACAAAGTTAATTGCATTATTATATTAATAAGTATATAGCATGTTTGTAAAAATTAAAATTTTTACGCATTATAATCTAAGTTTAGCATGAGTTAAATAAGTTTATGACTTAAAGATTTCCTAATGAACTTATAACACGTTATTACTTATTAGTTATTATATGATAACATAATTCATCATTAAAACCAATTAATTAGAAAAATAAAACTATACTAAATATGTATTTATTCTGGATGAGCAAGAATCATACAATTTTTTTTTTTTATCATCAGATTGTTGAAATGATCAGGCAATTTTGTCATGACATTCAACAAATTTTCAATATTTTTATCATTTAAAGATTTTAGCTCATTTTATTATTTAAAATACTATGGTTAATTAAAAATTTTAAATTGGGATAGATTAATAGATTAGATAAAAGAGTAAAAGACGGTCAGCATGGGATAACCATATGAATATCATATCATAATAAAGAATAGGTGACATATAATGTGTGACAAATAAAATTCACTACTAAAATAGTTACGCAGGAAATTTGATATTCATGGAATGACATGACTAAAATATTACAATATTTTACATATAAACTAAATTTAAAAAAAAAAATTATTATAAATTAATAATACGGAAAAATAAAATATAAAAATAAGTTTAATCATTACTATTATTAGGTAATTTCATTTTCTTATATAGATTTAATTAGATTTTTAATTAATAAATAAACAAATAGTTAAGCCAATTTTGGGTTGATTTTACCGAATTCACCGTGGTTCATTCATGGATGATATCAAAATTTTCTTAAATTGGTAACATGAATCATAAATAATAAAGGAGTTTATATACCGAAAAAATCATCGACGCGTCTATATTAGGTCGGTCGGAGTAATGGGAAAAAAAAGAATCGGAATTGTTGAAAAAATCAGATGATCAACAATAAAAGCTTCATAAGGACATATGGCTTTTTAAAATAAATTTATAAAATTTATTTAATCACAAAATTCACAAAAATTCATGTTCGCTTAACATTCCAAGGCTGTGTAAACATAATTTACACATGATAGTGAAAATATATAAACAATAATAAAACTTGTAAAGAAAAAGGCGTTTTTAATTTTAAATTAAATTTTTTCCCCCAAGGTATTATGACATTGTAACACACGACCTAAAAAGTCTAAATATCTTTAAGTAAGTGTTCCCAGAATTGGTAAAAAGACTTCGCAAGCCCAAATTTAGAGAAATTTAAGGGAGAGAATATAAACAAATAATACTTGAATATTGACTAGAAATTAAATAATAAATATTAATAATAACAACAGATAACAATAACAAATAACAATAATAATAACATATATATATATAATATATATATATATATTTCTTTTAAATATATATTCGGAATTTTATTTCCTATCAATAACAATAAAGGATTAAAAAAAGGTAAAATGAAATGTTAATGATATCTGATCAAAAATATTTTGGAAGTTTAGAAACTTTTTTTTTTTTTTTTTTTTTTTTATTAGACCCTGCGCTTTTGTTTATGATGATCATGCCGATATTTGTGTATCAGCTAACTGGAAAACTTTCAAGTTTAGATCACTTTTTGACGTTTAGAATCAGGGGATTAAGAGAAGAAATAGGAATAAAAGAGCGTGATATAAATTTATTGGCTTAAATATCGTAATACCTAAATAATCTTTTATGAATACCAAAATTAGAAATACAAGGTGTGTTTTTAAGTAATTTGAAAATGAAATTAAAGTTGTAATGTTTTTTTTTATAGACATTAACAAATCACGATGTTCATTGTTCTTACTGATAAAAGTAAAAGATATCATGATCAAGATTCGATAGATAGAATTATATTGGGAATATTGCCGCAAGGAAAGTTGTTAAATGTAAATAAAAAAAACTTGTAATATTAAGGAGTATGTATTTATCACATCAATGCATTATATAAATAATTATTATATATTATTATTATTATAATAGGTTTGAGGGTGTGATAATTAATGTAGTGAAATTGTTATTTGGCTTATTTCTGTATTTCTTGTATTCGTAATTCTGTTATTCGCTGTTAAAAAGTTAACCACACACGAAATTTTGAAACAATGGAAATTTTTATTTTGTTTCTTTTTAATTGTTAGAACAGGTTGACGTGCTGGTTTCACGATTGCGTTTGTTTACAGTTTAGAAAGTTTTGGAAGGTTATAGTCAAAGAGAAATCCCTTTTTTAGGATTTTTAAAGATGGCAGAAAAAAATTTATTATTTATTTTACAAAAAAGGTTTTCAAATAAAAAGAATCTTATTTTTCTTTTGTTTCTTTTGCCAAGAGTTAAATATATTAAATATATTATAGAAAAAAAAAAAAAATTAAAAAAATTTATTAAATGTCGTACTGACCAGAATTAATTTTATCAGTGAAACCCTGGGGGATGCTTATATGCATGCTTATTTGTTGGTATTGTACTCAATTATACTGAATTTTTTTGAGCCAAAATATTCTCAAATTTCTGCAAGTTTTAATTAAATTAGTATTAAATTTACCACTCGCATTTATCCAATAGACTTTAAATAGTAAAACAGCTTTCTATTCATTTATGGAATTAAAATAAAATCTTGGGCTTAGCAACTTTGGTTCTTCCCCCCCATGACATGGGGAATAAACGTTTGAAGAATTATCTTTTATAAGGAAAAAAATAAAAAATAACCAAGAATGAACATTTCACGTTACACACAAACAAAAAAAAAAACCGCCGCCCTTATTTTAACAGTATATTTACATCATTTAAATCATTGAATTCATTCAATAAATAACAAAAAAAATTATTATGACATGATTTTTAAAAATAACACAATTTTTAAACTATAATACCGTTATAAATTATGACTGCATTAGACAGATCTTGTTTTACAAAGTACGATCAAAAATTTCTTAGGCGGGAAATTTAGATGTAGTAAGACGTAGTAAAACCAAAAGTACATAATAATAAAAATACAATATATTATATATCCAATATATATCATATTATTATTATATATTATTTATTATCAGTTATATATAAAATATTGTTATTATGACGGAATGGATCTTCAAAAATAAGTTACAAATTTCCTTTTTTAATTTTGTAATTTTGTATTTTTTTGTTATTTACAATCATTTTTATACTATTTTATACTATTTTATACTATTTATACTTTTTTTTATACTTTTTTATACTATTATATACTACCGTATTTTATCGAAAATAAGCACCCCATTTTTGCAAGGATTCTGGACGAAAAATTTGGGGGGTGTTTATTTTCAAGACTTTTTTTTAAAATACGATTATCTATTAATCAAGGGGTTTTATCACTCTGGAAATTTTTTTTACTAATTCGGGAATTTCACCATGTGAATTAGGGGTATTATTTCGCGTTCGTGACTTTATAACTTTCGCGTAACCTCGTAACTTTCACGAAACTTTTATACGACCTTCATAACTTTCATACAACTTTTATAACTTTCACAATTTCATACAATTTCAAACCTGTTTTAATACTATGCCACAAGTTTCAAAACGCCAACGTAGTTCGTATTCTATTGAGCAAAAAAAAATTGTCGTTGCTTATGCTAAGGAACGTGGCAGAAATGAAGCTTCTAGGCACTTTGAACTTGATGCTAGTATGGTTGGAAGGTGGGTCAAAGCAAGTTTAAACTGGAAAGATGAAACAAAAGCAACAAACATGAGTGTAGGTTCTGGCCGAAAAGCATTTTATCCTGAAGCAGAAGTGGAGTTATACAAATGGGTTATGGAACAAAGAAAAATGGCATTAGCTATAACCACAGTGAATTTACGAATTTCAATGTTTGAAATTTTAGACCGGCCAGAAATGATCTCTCTCTATGGTAATTCAATAGAAACATTTAAGGCAACATCTAGTTGGTTATCTGCATTTATGAAAAGGTATAAATTGGCTTTACGGCGGCGTACAAAAGTGTCACAAAAACTACCTGAACAAACAGAAGAATTATTGGAAAAATTTCGCAGATTTGTCATTCGAATTAGGGTCAGAAAATCTTTTGAATTGTGTAATATTTTTAATATGGACGAAACGCCTGTCTGGTTTGACATGGCTGGAAATTTTACCATTCATACGAAAGGTGATAAGACAATTCATATTCGTGGAACAGGAAATGAAAAAAACAGATTTACAGTAGTTTTAACATGTGCCGCAGGTAAGATTTACATTAAATTTATGGTTTTTATTAGTTTTTAAATAAAATAACAATTTTTTTTATTTATAATAGATGGAACTAAATTTCCGGCAATTTGTATTTTCAAAGGAAAACAAATGCCACGCGGAGAACAAGCACCTTCTGGTGTGATTGTTTGGTTCCAAGAGAGTGGATGGATGAATACAGACTTAATGAAACGGTATGTTGATTATCTCAAACGTTCAAGAATAATGACAAACGGTCAATCCAGCTCTCCTGCATTGATGGTGTATGATTCTTTTAGAGGACATTTAGAAGAATCTGTTAAAAACGCATTTCATGATACTAATGTTGATTTGGCAGTAATTCCGGGTGGTTTGACTAGCATTTGTCAACCACTTGATGTTGCAATCAACAAGCCATTTAAAGACAACCTCCGTAAAGAATGGCACCACTGGATGTCTAATGGTGGTGCTGGGTATACTACTTCAGGAAACCTTCGACGTGCTAAAATAAGTGATGTTTGTAAATGGGTTAAGCGTGCATGGGAGAATATTTCGGATGATATTATTATCCGTTCTTTTAAAAAATGTGGTATATCTAATGATTTAGATGGATCGGAAGATGATCTTGTTTATGAAGAAATTGATGAACTTCTTAAAGAACTTCAAGATGAAAATGAGGAAATGGATGAAATTGATTTTATCGATACAAATTAATAATATTTGTTTAAATTTTATTTTTTTTTCTAAGTCAATAAAATCAATATAGTTAAAAATTATTTTTTTTTCTATTGTCAATAAAATTAATAAAATACCGGGGGATGCTGATTTTTGAAGGTGCTTATTTTTGATTTTTGCATGAAATCGCACAAAATAAGGGGAGGTGCTTATTTTTGATAGGTGCTTATTTTCGATAAAATACGGTA